GTCAAGATTTGCCAGAAACTGTTAACTCACCTGTAGGTAATAATATATTTTTTAACTTTTGGAAGCATGATGAAGACTTTTGCAGATAAGCTCATAAAAACCAAATTTTGATTCAAATTAAAACACCTGATTGCCTCCTCTATGTGTGGAAATTGTATTGGTTAGATTGTCCTCAGCTTCAAGTAACATAAACTCTGAATCAAATTGTCTTTTTTTTGACCCGTCATTATCTTTTTAATTTTCATGACAGCTTTCCCTTTTTTAAAATACTAAATATTTAATATGTAAATACTAAAAACAGAGTCCTGCACAAGCAGTGGGCCAAATAAGAAATCAAATGGCAAATCAAAATATGTCTCAAAACAAAAGAAAAAGAAAACATAATATTCCAAAACCTATGGGGTGCAGCAAAAGTAGATGCTAGAGTGAAATTTATGCTATAAATGCTAGTATTAAGAAAAAAACAGGGTGCCTGGGTGGCTCAGTTGGTTAAGTGATTGCCTTCGGCTCAGGTCATGATCCTGGAGTCCCAGGATCGAGGCCCGCATCGGGCTCCCTGCTCGGCAGGGAGTCTGCTTCTCCCTCTGACCCTCCCCTGTCTCATGCTCTCTCTCTCTATCTCATTCTCTCTCTCAAATAAATAAAATCTTTAAAAAAAAAATTCTTAAAAAAAACCCCCACACATTACACCACAAGGAACTAGAAAAAGAAGAAAGGTAGCTGAAATTTAGTAGAGGAAGGAAATAACAAGGAAAAATCAGAAATAAAAAAAATAGAGACCAGAGTAAACAATAACATAACATTGAAAGTAAGGACCAGTTTTTCAAAAAAATAAACAAATTTGGCAATGCTTTAGCTACATTAACTGAGGAAAAAAGAGAGAAGGCTCAAAAACCAAAATGAGAAATGGAAGAGAAAACATTACAACAGATATCACAGAAATACATAGTGAGATAAGAGATTACTATAAACATTTAACAAATCAGATAACATAGAAAAAAAACAGATAATTCCTAAAAATGCACAAATTACCAAGATTGAATCATGAATTTTGAATCTAAGAAGTGGGGAATCATCTTCGACCAATAACAAGAATGAAAGTTGACTTAGGACTGAAAAATCTCCTAGCACAAAAAAGCCCAAGACTACATGGTTTCATTGGAGAATTCTGTCAAACATTTCAAAAAATAATTAATTACAATCTTTATCCAAATCTTATAAATAGTAGAATAGAGGGAACACACTCAAAATCATTCTGTGAGGCCAGTACTACTCTGACACCAAAGCAGGATAAAAACAACACAAGTACAAAAAAGTCTAGTTTGTCCGACATAACCTTTGCTACTCCAGCTTTCTTTTGACATCCATTTGCATGATAAATGTTTCTAAATCTAAAGGTGTCTTTACATCTAAAATGAGTCTCTTGTAGGCAGCATATAGATGGGCCTTGTTTTTTTGTTTTTTTTTTTTAAGATTTTATTTATTTGAGACAGAGAGAATGAGAGAGAGAGAGCACATGAGAGGGGGGAGGGTCAGAGGGAGAAGCAGACTCCCCGCTGAGCAGGGAGCCCGATGCGGGACTCGATCATGGGACTCCAGGATCATGACCTGAGCCGAAGGCAGTCGCTTAACCAACTGAGCCACCCAGGCGCCTGGGCCTTGTTTTTTTAATCCATTCTGACACCCTCTGTCTTTTAATTGGAGTGTTTAGTCCATTTACATTCAAAGTAATTATTAATAGGTGAGTATGTATTGCCATTTTATTACTTGTTTTGTTTTTCTGGAGATTTTCTCTGATTCTTTCTTGTCTTTTATAGTTTGCTGATTTTCTTTGGTGATATATTTGGATTTCTTTCTCTGGATTTATTTGCATATTTATTTGTGGTTTTTGATATATGGTTACCATTAGGTTTGTATATAACCTCTTGTGCATATAGCAGTCTATGTTAAGTTGATGGTCATTTAAGTTTGAACCCATTCTTTACTCCTCCTCACGTTTTAGGTATATGTTGTTATATTTTATATCCTTTTATTTTGTGAGTTCCTTGACTGATTTTTTATAGAAATATTCATTTTCACTACCTTTGTGTTTTCTACTTTTATACTGTTAGCTTTGTTCTCTCCTTTCCACTCAAAGAATCACCTTTAATATTTCCTGCAGGGCTGTATTAGTAGTCATGAACTTTTTACGTTTTTGTTTGTCTGAGAAACTCTTTGTCTCTCTTTCTATTCTGAATGATAGCCTTGCTGGAAGAATATTCTTGGCTACAGATTTTTCCCACTCAGCACTTTGACTATATCATGCCACTCTCTTCTGATTTGGAAATTTTCTGCTGAGAAATCCCTTGCTAGCCTTATGGGTTTTCTTTTGTAACTCACTGTCTTCTTTTATCTTCCTCTTTTAAATTTTTTTCTTTATCACTATATTTTGCTAATTCATTACGGTATGTCTTGGTGTGCATTTGCTTTTGTTGATTGTGATGGGAGTTCTTTGTGCCTCCTGGATCTGGATATGTTACCCTCCCCAGATGAGGGAAGTTTTCAGCTATTGTTTCTTCAAATAAATTTTCTGTGCCCCTTTCTCTTTCTTCTTCTGGGACTCCTAAAATATGAGTGTTGTTATGTTTCATGGACTCACTGAGTTCCCTGTCTATTTTCATGTTGTATAATTGCTTTTTTTCTCTTGTTCAGCTTGATTACTTTCCATTACTCTGTCTCCTAGGTTACTCATTTCTTCCTCTGTTTCTTGCATCCTGCTGTTCATTCCATCAAGTGTGTTTCTCATCTTTTTAAAAATTTTTTAAATTTAAATTCAGTTAATTAATATAGAATATTAGTTTCAGAGGTAGAGTTCAGTGATTCATCAGTCTTATGTGACACCCAGTGTTCATTACATCACATGCCCTCTTTAATGTTCATCATCCAGTTACCTCATCCTCCCACTCCCTCCCCTGCAGTAACCCTCAGTTTGTTTCCTATGATTAAGAGTCTCTTACAGTTTGTCTAGTGTGTGTTTCTCATCTTGTTTATTGAACCCTTTATCTCTGCCATGTTACTTCTTTTTTTAAAGATTTTATTTAATTTAGAGTAAGAGTGAGAGTGTGAGACAGTTGAACCAGGCAGGGAGGGGCAGAGGGAGAGGGAGAAGCAGACTCCCCACTGAGCAGGGAGCCCGATATGGGGCTCGATCCCAGGAGCCCAGGATCATGACCTGAGCTGAAGGCAGATGCCCAACTGACTGAGCCACCTAAGCACCCCTTCCCTGTTATTTCTTATCTCTGTGTAAAGGGTCTCACTCATGTCTTCCACTCTTCTCAAGTCCAGTGAGTATCCTTAAGATCATTACTTTAAATTCTCTATCGGGTATGTTACTTATATCTGCTTCATTTAGATCACTGGCCATGGCCTTGTCCTGTTCTTTCAGTTGGGATAAATTTCTCTGTCTTCTCATTTTGTTTAAGTTTTTGTGCCTTTTTCCTCTGTGTTAGGCAAGTCAGCTTTATCTCCTGTTCTTGGAGGGTAATAGCCTTATGAAGAAGAGGTCCTGTAGTGCTCTGCTGTGTAGTGTCCCCTGTCCCCCAGGGCCTGGCACTTTTGAGAGTGTCTCCAATGGGTGCTGTGTTTGCTGTGCTGTTTTGTCTTGGCTGCTTTATCCTTCAGGCCAGTCATTTGCAGAGTCTCTCTTTGCCTGTTGGGGGCAGTGTTTGGTCCCTGGCCTGAATGTGGCACGTTTAAACTAGGTATACTCTGGTCTGTTTGTGAAGTGAGATGTCGCCTGGCTCTGAAAAACTCCTATGTTGGGATATGTGGCATGAGCAGAGGTTTGGCTGGTCTTCTGGGGGATGGGGCCTACTGTGCTGGGACGGAGGCAAGCATGACTGGGAGGGGGCATTCTGTGGGAGCGTGCGGGGGGCAGGACTCTGTGTAAGCAAGTTAGGTAGCAAGTATCAGTGCTGTGCTGGTTTCCACAGGTAGCCCTGTGCTTATGTATAGGAAAATGATGCCTGACAGTCCCTTTTTTGCTGGAGGGGTCTCTGTGAACACTCTCTTGGATGGCCTCTGAGATGAGTGAATAACCTCCCCACTGTGTGCCCTAGGCACTCTTCAGATCGCTTTTTCACACTGTGTATCCACAGGTTGTTTACCTGCCTTTTTTTCCAGAGCAGTATACTGCCCTCTGGGCTCTATTCCAGCCAAGCCCACTGACCTTTAACACTCTAGGCTTCAAGTCCTGCTGGTTGCACCAAACCACAGAATTTGGCTCCTCTCACTATCCAAGCCAACTGCTATGGGGATTCATTTTCCTCACCAGCTCCCCTGTGTGCTGGTCTGTCTCTCACCAGAAGAAATCATTTTAATATACGATGTACAAATATGAGTCATTTTAATCATTGTGATTACAGGGTAACCATCACTGAGTGTATTTTAAAGAGTTTAGAATAGTATAAAATGGCTCCCCACTCTCCAGCTTCTACACACAAAATGCCAATAAGTTACTATTTACCCACTATCAAAGTAATTATCATGGTACAAGCTAAACAGCTGGATACGTTACTTTGAAAAAATTACAGTACAGACAGTTGGTAGATATGTTTTTATTATTTCATATGAATGTAAGTTGGCATATAGAATTGATTTTTCCCACTTTCTTCTGAATAAAATTCCTAAATGCTGTTATCCTCTCATAATTCTCAAAAAATTGCAAAATATTACTTAGAAACATTAAGGCAGAGAATAGCTTTCATGAGAGGTTTTAGATAGTTTTACATAATAGTGGAAGTGTTTTTGTTGCTAACATTCTCAAATTTAAAATAGACCTGTTTCCTTATAAAATCTCTTCTATTGTCACAATGAATTTCTTGAGTATAAGGCAGATAAATGTTTGCAAGTGTTTCTACCAAATGAGATTTAAAGTAAGAATTGAGATGTATCTAGCAATTTCTATATTTGATGTAATTTGTTTTAGAAATTCCTAAAAAGGTAAAATGCGTAAAAATACATTAGTTGATTAGAAAATGTTGAATTATAACAGCACACAGAATAGCAACTAGTGCAAATCCTATCACAAGGATTAGAACAAATGTATCATCACTCATTTCTATCCTGGGCTTTTCATCTTTCTCTTCACCAGTGCTGCTTCCCCTCTTTCTTCCACCACCTTTTCCAGGCCCTGGATGTTGCTTATGCATTGAGAAGAGAACGCTGGGGCTATATCGTCCCCAGAACTCTTGTATCTCAGCAGAAATCTGATATTGGCGTCCAGCACAGACCTTGAAGTGATAATGTGCATTTGTCACAAAGTTGGAAAAGGAGAATGAAATGTTTGGTCCTTTATATATCTAAAGAAAAATGAGACAAAATGAAAATTTTATTGTCTTACCAAATAAAAAAATATGGTATAGTTTTTGACAAGAAAATTATGAATTAACCCACTCACCTCATAAATATATTCAAAGCAAAACTAAAAGTTTATGCTTACAGTCTCTAATATCATGAGGACCCAGTACTGTTAGGTAATTTTGTTCAGTGTAAGAAATAACAAAGACTTATAATTGTTAAACTTGCATTTGGTTTGGAGTTGTGCATGTGATCAATGAAACCTAGAAATATCAAATCATTCAATAGTAATATGTTAATTGAATGAATAATCAAATTGTCCCCAAATAATATGTACATAAAGCATTAGGGAGAAGGTAGGACTTTTGGATAAGATTCATCACTTTAAACATTCTAAAAGGGTATCTTACTCCTCAACAAGACCTTAATTACCAGTAGAATATAAAATTATAAAATTTTAAAGACAATTTGCAAGAATTTACCAGGTCAGTTCCTTTTTGACTGATGAGTTGAAGACTGTAAACAATGGGATCTCCTTTTATTGGCCCCAAAGACTCCCATTTGATCTCACAAATATTGCTGTTCACATGCTGTAATTTAGGTGCTAGAAAAAGAGAATTTTAGTTTAGAGGGTTTCATTTTTCCTGGTATAATCTTTTGCATTGTATTTATATGGTGCATCATACATTTGGAAGCATTTCACATACATTAACAATTTTTAAAAAGATTTTATTTATTTATTAGAGCAGGGAGGAGGGGCAGAGGGAGAGGGGAGAGAATCCTAAGTAGACTCTGGGCTAGGCATGGAGCCTGATGTGGGGCTCAATCCCACGACTCTGAGATCATGACCTGAGCTGAAACCAAGAGTCCGATGCTCAACTGACTGTACCACCCAAGTGCCCCACATATGTTAATAATTTTATTTTAGGATCACAGCAACTGTGTGAGGAAAGGAGGGCAGGGTCTTTATTTATGTTATTAGTCTCTCTACATTTCAGGAAAATGGGTCTTAAATATATAAGAAGAGAACAAGGAATTATTGTGGTCTAAGTCATATTTAATTCCAGTATGTTCCAGTTAGCTTTTCACTGAAAACAGACTACTTCATAATAGTGATTGGACTTGTGTGGAAAGATTGGAACAACTGCATTTCACAGATGAGGAGGAAAAAATGCTCAAAGCTTGAGCTTTCATGACTGTAAGTTGACCTTGTTATGTATTATAGAAAGCAGTCTATTTCACTGTTCAAATAGGGAGATTAAAATCAGTTTCAGAGGGCGCCTGGGTGGCTCAATTGGTTAAGCAACTGCCTTTGGCTCAGGTCATGATCCTGGAGTCCCAGGATCGAGTCCCGCATCGGGCTCCCTGCTCGGCAGGGGTCTGCTTCTCCCTCTGCCCTCTTCCCTCTCGTGCTCTCCGTCTCTCATTCTCTCTCTCTCAAATAAATAAATAAAATCTTTAAAAAAAATAAAATCAGTTTCAGAAATTACCAACTATGTACTAATTACCAAATATGAAGTTACAAATTTGTACTAAATATGTACGAATATGTACCATATACTAAGTATATTTTTTAGCTTTAATCAGTATAATTATACCTATCAGCTGATGTTTTTTTGTGTGTGTGTATTTTAATCCATTTGAGAACATGTGAGATGAGCAAGGAATGGATATCATGACAAAGTGGAAGGAGAACTATCATGGGGATCAGGAGCCTACCATTCCTATTTTGGCTCTGCTGCTGGCTCACAGTGTTCTTTAGTTACGTTACTTACCATTCAGGGAATTCACTTCTTTCTGTTAAAAAGTGGCTGTGGTGATAGAGTGATTGGCTGAATTAGTTGATTTCAAAGATATTTTTTAAATATGATTTTGAGGGGCAGAGTAGTAGGACCCTAGGCCTGTCATGTCCCACTAACACTATTGGATAACTATCAAATTACCCTAAATGCCCCAGAAATCGACCTGAAGACTGACGGAACAAACTCCACAACTAAAGGGAGAGAAGAGGCCACATTGAAGAAGGTAGGAAGTGTGGAGACATGATTTAGGGGAGAAATGGATCCTGGCTGCCATGGAGAGGAGGTTGCCTGGTTGTGGAGAAGGGTGAGAGAGAGAGGGGCACACAGGGCAATGCACAAGGAGACTGTTTCCCCATAACCACTGGGTTGGAAAACAAGAGGGGCTGAATTTCGAGTTCTTGCAACCAGTGAGTCTTAAAGCCTGGAGTTTTAAAGGTTGGTGGCCTTGGCTGGGATAGAGCTCTGCTCTTGGAGAGAATGCAGGCGAACAACCCAGGGGTATACAGTGAGGAAACAGGGATCTGAAGAATGCCTGGGACTCATGGAGGGGAGATTATTCACTCTTCTTGGAGTGCTTCTTAAGAGGGGCAGTGTTTATGGAGATACCTCTCAGTGAACAAAGCAGCTGGCTGGTACCATTTCCCTCCCTGGCCTAAGCATAAACAAAGAGCCACCTATACTGGCTGCCTAACTTGCTTGCACCAAGTCCCATGCCCCTATGCTCTGGCAGTTCTGCTCTTCTCAGTCAAGCTTGTTTCAGTCCCAGTGCGGCAGCCCCCTCCCCTAGAAGACCAGCACAAACCTCTGCCCACACCATGTCTCCAAACCTGAGAGTTCTGCAGGGCCTCAGTTCTAGTGGAAGTTAGTATCAGGTCTCATTTCACAAGAATATCAGAGCACACCTAGTTAACACCACATTCAAGCCAGAGCCCAAACACTGCCCAGACAAGGCAAGGAGAGCCTCTGCAGGTGACTGGCCTGAAGGATAGAGCAGACAAAACACAACAGTAGAGCACACACAGCACACACCAGAGATGCTTCCCGAATTGCCAGGTCCTGGACACCATGTGACCTCTTCCTCATAAAGCCATTACTTTCAGGAGCAGGAAACATAAGTGGCTTTTCTAACACAGAGAAGAAGGAAGAGACTTAGACAAAATGCCACTATGGAGGAATTTATCCCAAGTGAAAGAACAAGATAAGGCCACGGCAAGAGATCTAAGGGAAACAGATATAAGTAACATGCCTGATAGAGAATTAGAGAATTTAAAGAAACAAAAAATTTTAAAAAGCAACAAGATACTTACTGGGCTTGGGAAAACAGTAGAAGACATTAGGGAGGCCCTTACCACAGAGATAAAAGGGTTTAAAAAGAATAAATCAGAGAGGAAGAATGCAATAAATGAGCTTGGAAAGAGGCTTAGTGCAATAAACAGCAGAATACAAGAAGCACAGGAATGAATTAATGACCTAGAAGACAAAGTAATGGAAAATAATGAAACTGAACAAAAGAGAGAAGAATTATGGAGCAAGAAAATAGACTTAGGGAACTCACTGACTCCATCAAATGTAGTAACATATGTAATGATAGGAGTCCCAGAAGAAGAGAGAGAAAAGGGGGCAGAAAATTTATTTGAGGAAATAAATAATAGCTGAAAACATCCCTAAACTGGGGAAAGAAACAGACATCCAGATCCAGGAGCACAGAGAACTCCCATCAAAAAAAAAAAAAAAAAAAAAAGCAGGCCAACACCAAGAGACACTGTATTGAAATTTGCAAAATATAGTGATAAAAAAATTAAAAGCAAGAAGACAAAAGAAGTCCTTAACTTATAAGGGAAGACCCATAAGGCTAGCTGGAGGTTTCTCAACAGAAACTTGGCAAGTTAGGATGGAGTGGTACGGTATATTCAAAGTACTGAATGGGAAAAATCTGCAGGCAAGAATACCCTACCCAAGTAAGGGTACTCTACCCAGCAAGGCTGTCATTCAGAATAGAAGGAGAGATAAAGAGTTTCCCAGATAAACAAAGGAGTTCATGACCACTAAACAGCCCTGCAAGAAATATTAAATATTTTCCACTCACTGAATGGAAAGGAAAGACCAAAAGTGACCAAGATAGGAAAGGATCAAAGAAAATCTCCAGAAACAACAACAAAACAAGTAATAAAATGGCAATGAATACATATGTATCAATAATTGCTTTGAACGTGAATGGATTAAATGCTCCAATCAAAAGACATAGGGTGTCAGAATGGATAAAAAACACAAGACCCATTGATATGCTGCCTATAAGAGACTCATTTTATTTTTAAAAAAAATTTAAAAAGATTTTACTTATTTATCAGAGAGAGAGAGAGCATGAGCGGGGGGAGGGGCAGAGGGAGAGGGAGAAGCAGGCTCCCCGCTGAACAGGGAACACAACACGGGGCTTGATTCCAGGACCCCGGGATCATGACCTGAATCGAAGGCAGATGCTTAACCGATTGAGTCACTCAGGCATCCCAAGAGACTCATTTTAGGCATAAGCACACCTGCAGATTGAAAGCGAGGGGATGGAGAAACATATATCATGCAAATGTATGTCAAAGGAAAGCCAGAGTTGCAATAATTTTATTGGACAAAGTAGACATTAAAACAAAGACTGTAAGAAGTGATAAAGAAGGGCAGTATATCATAATAAAGGGGACAATCCAACAGAAGATCTAACAATTGAAAATATGTCCCAACATGGGATCACCCAAATACACAAACCAATAACAAACATTAAGGAACTAATTAATAATACAATCATAGTAGGGGACTTTAACACTCCATGTACATCAATGGGCAGATTGTCTAAGCAGAAAATCAATAAGGAAACAATGGCTGTGAATGACACACTGGATCAGATGGTCTTAACAGATATAGTCAGAACATTCCACCCTAAAGCATCAGAACACACATTCTTTTCAAGTGCATATGGGACATTAGCCAAATAGATTAGATACTAGGTCACAAATCAGGCCTCAAGAAGCACAAAAAGATTGAGATCATACTACGCATTTCTTTCTGACCACAATGCTAAGAAACTTTAAGTCAACCACAAGAAAAAATTTGGAAAGAGCCGAGATGCCCTTCAACAGATGAATGGATAAAGAAGATGTGGTCCATATATACAATGGAATATTACTCAGCCATCAGAAAGGATGAATACCTAACTTTTACATCAACATGGATGGGACTGGAGGAGATTATGCTAAGTGAAATAAGTCAAGCAGAGAAAGTCAATTATCATATGGTTTCACTTATTTGTGGAACATAAGGAATAGCATGGAGGACATTAGGAGAAGGAAGGGAAAAATGAAGGGGGTGGATTTTGGAGGGAGAGATGAACCATGAGAGACTATGGACTCTGGTAAACAAACTGAGAATTTTAGAGGGGGGGGGGAGGGGGTATTGGTTAGCCCTGTGATGGGTATTAAGGAGGGCACGTACTGCATGGAGCACTGGGTGTTATATGAAAACAATGGAATGTGGATCACCACATCAAAAACTAATGATGTATTGTATGGTGACTAACATAACATAATAAAATTAAAAAAAAAAGAAAAAAAATGGGAAAGATCACAGATACATAGAAGTTAAACAAAGGGCCAAACAGGAAATCAAAGAAGAAATAATACATGGAAATAAATGAAAATGAAAACACAGTGGTCCAAAACCTTTGGGATGAAGCAAAAGTGGTGATGAGAGGGAAGTATATAGCAATAAGGCCTACTTCAAGAAGCAAATAAACAACCTAACCTTACAGCTAAAGGAACCAGAAAAAGAACAACACACAAAGCCTAAAGCCAGAAGGAAGGAAATAATAAAGATTAGAACAGAAATAAATGATATAGAATCTAAAAAACAGTAGAACAGATCAGTGAAACCAGGAGCTGTTTTTTTTTGAAAAAAATTAATAAAATTGATAAACCCCTAGTCAGGCTTATCAAAAAGAAAAGAGAAAGACCCAAATACCTAAAATCACAAATGAGAAATAACGCAACACTACAGAAATACAAACAACTGTAAGACAATATTATGAAAAACTATATTCCAGCACATTGGACAACCTGGATGAAATGGATAAATTACTGGAAACACAAACTACCAAAACCAAAACAGGAAGAAATAGAGAACTTGAGCAGGCCAATAACCAATAAAATTGAATCAATAATCAAAAAACTCCCAACAAACAAACATCCAGGCCAGATGGCTTCACAGATGAATTCTATCAAACATTTAGGGAAGAGTTAATACCCCTTCTTCTTAAACTATTCTAAAAAAAAACAGAAAAGGAAGGAAAGCTTCCAAACTCATTCCTTGAAACCAGCAGTACCCTGATACTAAAACCAGAGAAAGACTCCACTAAAAAAGAGAACTACTGGGGCGCCTGGGTGGCTCAGTCGTTAAGCATCTGTCTTCAGCTCAGGTCATGATCCCAGGGTCCTGGGATCGAGCCCTGCATCGGGCTCCCTGCTCAGCGGGAAGCCTGCTTCTCCCTCCTCCACTCCCCCTGCTTGTGTTCCCTCTCTCGCTGTGTCTCTCTCTGTCAAATAAATAAATAAAATCTTAAAAAAAAAAAGAGAGAACTACAGGTCAATATCCCTCATGAACATGGATGCAAAAATTCTCAAAAAATACTAGGAAACTAAGTCCAAGTACACATTAAAAAAGTCATTTAGTACAATCAAGTGGGGTTTATTCCTGTGTTGCAAGTGTGGCTCAATATTCCCAAATCAATCATTGTGATACACCACATTAATCAAAGAAAGGATAAGAACCATATGATTATTTCAATGGATGTATAAAAAGCATTTGACAAAATACATCTATTTGTGATAAATGCCCTGAATAAAGTAGATTTAGAGGGAACACCCCTCAACATAATAAAGGTTATATATGAAAAACCCAGAGCTAATATTCTCAATGGGGAAAAATTGAGAGCTTTTCTGCTATGGTCAGGAAGAAGACAGGAATGTCCACTCTCACAACTGTTATTTAACACAGTACTGCAAGTCCCAGCCTCAGCAGTGGAAAACAAAAAGAAATAAAAGCCATCCAAAGCAGCAAGGAAAAAGTAAAACTCTTACTCTTTGCAGATAACATGATACTTTATACATAAAATCCAGAAGAATCCACCAAAAAATTGCTAGAACTGATATACAAATTCAGAAAAGTTACAGGATACAAAGTCAATGTACAGAAATCTGTTGCATTTCTATACACCAATAATGAAGCAGCAGAAGAGAAATTAAGGTATCCGTTCCATTTATAATTGCACTAAAAACCATCAGATACCTAGGAATAAACCTAACCAAAGAGATGAAAGACCTGTATTCTGAGAACTGTAAAACATTAATGAAAGAAACTGAAGAGGACACAAAGAAATGGAAAGACATTCCATGCTCATGGATTGGAAGAAAAAATACTGTTAAAATATCTATATTACCCAAAGCAATCTACACATTTAATGCGATCCCTATCAAAATACCACCGCATTTTTTCACAGAGCTAGAATGAACAATCCTCCAATTTGTATGGAACCATGAAAGACCCTGAATTGCCAAAGCAATGTTGAAGAAGAAAAGCAATGCTGGAGGTATCACAATCCCAGATTTAAAATTATACTACAAAGCTGTAGTGATCAAAACAGTTTGGTACTAGCACAAAGATAAACACACAGGTAAATGGAACAGAGTAGAATACCCAGAAATGAAAATTGGTCAATGACCAAATGAAATTTGGTCAGTTAATCTTTCACAAAGCAGGAAAGAATATCCAGTGGGATAAAGTCTCTTCAACAAATGGTGTTGGGACAATTGGACAGCAACATCCAAAAGAGTGAAACTGGACCATATTCTTATACCATACACAAAAATGAATTCAAAATAATTTAAAGGCCTAAATGTGAGAGAAGAAATCATAAAAATCCTAGAGGAAAAAACAGGCAGTAATCTCTTTGACATCAGCTGTGGCAACTTCTTTCTAGATGTCTTCTGAGGCAAGTGAAACAAAATTAAAAATAAGCTATTCAGACTTCATCAAAATAAAAAGCTTCTGCACAGTAAAGGAAACAACAAAACTAAAAGGCAGCTTACTGAGTGGGAGACGATATCTGCAAATGACATATTCGATAAAGGGTTATATCCAAAATATATAAATACCTTATGAAGCTCAACATATAAAAAAAGAATAATCTAATTAAAAATGAGCAGAAATTAGTAGACATTTTTCCAAAGAAGACATACAGATGGCCAACAGGCATATGAAAAGTTGCTCCACATTACTGATTATCAGGGAAATTCAAATCAAAACTACAATGAGATATCACACCACGTCTGACAGAATGGCTAAAATCAACAACACAAGAAACAACTGGTCAGATTGTCTAAAATTAACACAAGAAACAATAAGTGTTGGTGAGCATGTGGAGAAAGGGGAACCCTCTTGCACTTGGTGGGAATGGAAACTGGTGCAACCACTCTGGAGAACAGTTTGGGGGTTCCTCAAAAAGCTAAAAAATAGAACTACCCTACAATCCAGCAATTTTTTTTTAAGATTTTATTTATTTATTTGACAGAGAGAGACACAGCGAGAGAGGGAACACAAGCAGGGGGAGTGGGAGAGGGAGAAGCAGGCTTCCCGCAGAGCAAGGAGCCCGATGCGGGGCTCGATCCCAGGACCCTGGGATCATGACCTGAGCCGAAGGCAGATGCTTAACGACTGAGCCACCCAGGCGCCCCACAATCCAGCAATTGTACTAGTAGGTATTTAACCAAAGGATACAAAATACAGATTTGAAGGGATATGTGCAACCCACTGTTTATAGCAGCATTATCAACAATAGCCAAACTGTGGAGAGAGCCCAAATGTCCATTGACTGATAAATAGATAAATAAGAAGTGGTATATTATACAATGGAATATTATTCTGCCATCAAAAAGAATGAAATCTTGCCATTTGCAATGTGGATGGAGCTAAAGTGTATTATGCTTAGTAAAATAAGTCAGTCAGAGAAAGACAAATACCATGTGATCTCACTCATATGTAGAATTTAAGACAGAAAACATGAACATATGGGAAGGGGGAAAAGAAAAAAAAGGAGAGAGGGAAATAAGCCATAAGTGACTCTCAATGATAGAGAACAAACTCAGGGTCGATGGAGGGAGGTGAGTGGAGGATGGGCTAGATGGGTGATGGGTATTAAAGAGGGCACTTGTGATGAGCACTGGGTGTTGTATGTAAGTAATGAATCACTGAACTCTACTCCAGAAACCAATATTGTACTGTATGTTAACTAACAAAATTTAAATAAAGTGAAAAAAAAAAACTGCATTATGATCCAGCATTTGCAGTACTAGGTATTTACCCAAGGAATACAAAAATACTAATTCAAAGGGATACATACACCTAGATGTGTATCGCAGCATTATCTACAATAGCCTAATTATGGAAACAACCCAAATGTCCATCATTTGATGAATGGATAAAGAAGTGGTATATATTTACAGTGGAATATTATTCAACCACAACAAGAATGAAATCTTGCCATTTGCAAAGATGTGGATGGAGCTAGAGAGTATTATGCCAAGCCAAATAAGTTAGTCAGAGAAAGGCAAATACCATATTTCACTCATATGTGGAATTTAAGAAACAAAATAAATGAGCAAAGGAAAAAAAGAATGAGAATTAAATGAAGAAACAGGCTCTTAACTATAGAGTACAAACTGGTGGTTACCAGAAGGGAGGTGGGTGGGGTGATGGATTAAATAGGTCATGGGGATTAAGGAGTGTACTTGTGATGAGTACTGGGGTTGTATGGAAGTGTTGAACCACTATATTGTACACCTGAAACTAATAGTATACTGTGCGTTAACTAATGAATTTAAATAAAAACTTTTTAAAAAGTAAAACATTATAATTTTTGGAGTCTTATTAAATTCTAAATTGCACCTTGAATCCATAATTAAGTACTAGAGTCTTATGCTATTGTTCGACATTTAAAATAGACCATACTGCAGAATTTTATATATGAGCTATTGGAGCTCATATTAATGCAACCTTTATTGTCTGGCTTATAATACTTACCTTTAAGTGTGGCTGGTGGAGTTTTGGTTGTAGTGAAAGTATAGATACCAGACAGTGATCCCTCACCAGCTTCATTACATGCTTGGATTTTAAATTTGTATTGCGTATATTCACTCAGTCTGTGCACTTTGTGAGTCTGACACGGTCCATGGTAAATGATAGAAAATCTGGGATTGGGAATCAAGATGGGAGAAGCAATATTATTAATCAAAGTTCACTTAGGTACAAGTAACTCTAGACTTGAAACTGGGTCCTCAGTAAAGCCTAAATAAATCAACTTGAAGCCTGGTGGGTACAACACAAAAGGAAAAAAAAATCAGATTGTATATATCATAATGGCAAGGTGCTGGCTTTCATATTCCTTTTGTAACTTCTATTCCTTGTTATTAATGTGTGTTATATAAAGGAAGAAGTGTTTTGGAAGAACAAAAATAGCTAAATTATCAGTAGGAATTTAAGAAACTAACATGATAATGTACTGCTTTCACATCTATCAGTTCATTGAAACCACTTTGGATTATATGTTTAAGATAGGAAATTTTAAAACATTTTTATTAGAATACATGTTAAATAGTACATATAGCTTACCTCCCAGATCGATCTCCTATTAACAAATTGTAGCTTATAAGGTTGGAAAGTAATCCTTTGCTTGAAGAGCTACGCCATTTCAGTTTGAGGCTCTGGTGTCCATAGACCACACAATCAAGATGAGGAGGATCAAGTGGTAGTGGCTTGGTTTTGGTTCTTATTGATTGGCTAAAAGGGCTTAGTCCATAATGATTGATAGCTTGAATTCTGATTCTAGTGGTAAGAAAAAAAATTAAACTATTAATTTGGATTTAGAAAGGAAAATAAATTTCTACATTTAAACTATGCCCCTAGTCACCCTATGAAAAGATATTGACCATCATATTATACTGATTATTATAGACAAATTTTTGAGGCCAAAATCTTGAATTTGCATTATCAGTATTGACAGTTTTTGATGAGGAGAAACTGGCTTTTAGTAATGCCAAATACTTCTAAAATAGTAAAATTCTCTTTCAAAAAATGTGTAGATTATATAAAACAAAGAAATGTAGATTTGTTCAAAATTCTCAGAAAAACTTCATCTACCCAAAGTAAGATACAAGCAGCTTACTTGTATGTGGTATCAGGCTGTAGATTTTTTAGAAGACACTCTGTTACTCTTTCAACAGTCAGAATTTTTCTGTCTCCATATTCAATGTTATATCCAGTGATTGGAGAGCCATGACAATCAGGTTCCTCCCATTGAATAGCAATGCAAGATGATGCCAGTTTGGCAGGAACTTTGTTTTCAACTTCATGGAGCATTGGTACTACTGCTGGTACAGTTGCTGGTGTGGTTACTATGCCAGTTTCTCCAAACAGTCCAACTACATTTGCAGCCTGAAAAAGTATATTCTGTTAGAGCTTCATTATTTTGTTTTGTGCATAAACCATTTTGTTGTATAAAAACAAGACAAAAATTTTAACCTCAAATTCTAAGAAAAAAATTTTTTTTTAATTGCGGTAGAATTGCTCTATAACATTGTGCAAGTTTAAAGTGTATAACATATTGATTTGATACTTTTTGGAGTTTTTTAGAGAGAGAGCATGCAAGTGGTAGGCAGGGGCAGAGGGAGAGGTAGAGAGAGAATCTTAAGCAGGCTCCATGCCCAGAACAGAGCCCAACGTGGAGCTTGATCTCATGACTCTGAGATCATGACCTGAGCAGAAATCAGGAGTAGGAGGCTTAACTGACTGAGCCATCCAGGTGCCTCTGATTTGATACATTTATATATTGCAGTATGAAACAAAATGACTTGAAGATGCTCACATAGACACTAAAATCTTTAGGTTGCATATTTAGGAAGGTAAAAAGTCTAAATATGTGAAGGTAAGTGAAGAATACAATATGGACATTTCAGGAAAAATATACCCGAACTGAACTCATCACTTAGCCTACTAAAGTTTCTTTCTTTCCTTTATTTTCTAGTTACTATCTCTGTTGGTGGTAGTCTGAAGTTCACATCAATTCACTGTTTTATTGATTTTGTAAAATTTTTTTATTTTGAGATCATTGTGGACTTAAATGTACAATTTACACACTTTACCCCAAAAGGAACATTTTGCATAACTATAGTACAATATACAATCAGGAAATTGACATTGATAAAATCCATTGACATTATTCAGATTTCACCAGTTTTACATGCACTCATTTGTATAGTGTTATACGTAGTTTTATCAGATGTGTAGCTTAATGTGACAACCAACAGTTAGGATATTCCATTGCAAGTATCCCTTGTACTATACTTTTATACTCACAGCAACTTCCTTCCCTCTTTTTCTAATCTTTGACAACTAGTATTTTATTCTTTAACCTGTATTTTTGCTATTTCAAGAATGTTATATAAATAGAATAATGCAGTATGTAAATTTTTTAGATAGGCTTTTTTTTCAGTCAGCATAATTCCCCTGAGATCCATTGAAGTTGTGTGAATCAATAGTTTGATTCTTTTTATTCCCAAATAGTATACCATGTATGAATGTGCTAATTTTTAAAACTATTTATATGAATGTGCTAATTTTTAAAACTATTTATATGTTGAATGTGCTAATTTTTAAAACTATTTATATGTTGAAGTTATTCCCAAATAGTATACCATGTATGAATGTGCTAATTTTTAAAACTATTTATTTATAAATAAAAATATTTATATATTAAAACTATTAATGTGATCATGTGATAATCAGTCATTTCTAGTTTTTGGCTTTTACAAATAAGGAGTTATGTATATCCATGTACAGGTTTTATTGTGGACATACATTTTCATTTCTCTGGGATAAGTGCCCAAAAGTGCTGGGCATATTAGTAAGTGCATGTTTAGTTTTGTAAGAAACTCCCATACTATTTTACAGAGTGGATGTAATTCACACCAGAAATGTATGATTAGTCCAGTTTCTTTACATCTTTGCCAGCATTTAGTGTTATTACTGTTTCTTATTAGCCATTTTGATTAGGTGTGTTGATATCTCATTGTGCATTTCCCTAATGACTAATAATGTTGTAGGTCTTTTCATGTGTTTATCTGTATATCCTCTTCAGTGAATGGTCTCTTCATGTCTTTTGCCTGTTTTGTAATTGGGTTGTTTGGATTTTTAACTGTTGACTTTTGAGAGTTCTTTATACATTCTAGGTATTAGTCCATTGTCAGATACGTGTTTTGTAAAGATTTTCTTCCAGTCTATGCTTGTGTTTTTTGTTCTCCTCACAGGGTCTTATGCAGAGTAAAACTTCTTAAGTTTGAGGAGGTCAGGGGCACCTGGGTGGCTCAGTTGGTTAAGCATCTGCCTTCAGCTCAGGTCATGATCCCAGGGTCTTAGGATAGAGCCCCACATCAGGCTCCCTGCTCATCAGGGAACCTGCTTCTCCTTCTCCCTCTGCCGCTCCCCCTGCTTGTGCTCTCTCACTCCCTCTCTCAAATAAATAAATAATATCTTTTTAAAAAGTTTGAGGAGGTCAAATTTATCAATTTTTCATTTTATGGATTGTGCTTTTGGTATGAAGTTTAAGAACTCATTGCCTACATTAGATCCTGAAGATCTTCTGTGATTTTTTCCAAAAGCTTTATAGTTTTATATTTTAATTTTCAGTTTTCTATGGTCCATTTTGAGTTAATTTTTACATAAGGTGTGAAGTTTATGTTGATTACTCCAAAAAAGACATACACATGGATTACAGACACACAAAAAGATGCTCAACATCACTAATCATCAGGGAAATGCAAATCAAAACTATAATGAGATATCACCTCATACCTTTGAGAATGGCTAAAAAAACCCCACAATAAACAGCAAACATTGGCTAGAATGTGGAGAAAAAGCACCCCTCTTGCTCTTTTGGTGGGAATGCAAACTGGTGCAGCCACTGTGGAAAGTGGTATGGAGGTTCCTCATAATGTTAAGAATAGGACTCCCCTACAGTCCAGTATTCACACTATTTACCCCCCAAATACAAAAACACTAATTCAAAGGGATACATGTACCTCCTTGTGTATTGCAGCATTATTTATAACAGCCAAATTATGGAATCAGTCCAAGTACACATCAATAGATGAATGGGTAAAGGTGTGGTATATATGTATGACAGAATATTATTCAGCCATAAAAAAGAATGAAATCTTGCTATTTGTAATGACATGGATGGAGCTAGAGAGTATAATGTTACGTGAAATAAGTCAGAGAAAGACAAATACCATATGATTTCACTCATATGTAGAATTTAAAAAACAAAAGAAATTAGGAAAGGAAAAAGAGAGAAACCAAGAAACAAACTCTAAATATAGAAAGCAAACTTTTGGAGGGGTTAGGGGATGAGGTAAATAGGTGATTGGGATTAAACAGTGCACTTGTGAGCACTGGGTGATGTATGGAATTATTGAATCACTATATTGTACAGCTGAAACTAATGTAACACTGTATTTTAGCTATATTGGAATTAAAATACAAAAAAGTGTGATGATAGCTACTCTGATGGGTATGGGATAATATCTCATGTAGTTTTGGTTTGTATTTCTCTGATGTTTAGTCATGTTGATCATCTTTTTATGTACCTGTTGAACATTTGTATGTTTTCTTTGGAAATATGTCTATTCAGTTGCTCTGCTATTTATTTATTTATTTATTTATTTATTTATTTATTTATTTATTTATTTATGAGAGGATATATGTATATGTATTTTAAAGATTTTATTTATTTATTTGATAGAGACTCAGCGAGAGAGGGAACACAAGCAGGGGAAGTGGGAGAGGGAGAAGCAGGCTTCCCACAGGGCAGGGAGCCCGATATGGGGCTCGATCCCAGGACCCTGGGATCATGACCTGAGCCCAAGGCAAACGCTTAATGACTGAGCCACCCAGGCACTCCTCTGCTCATTTTTAAATTGAATGAGTACTATTTTGCTATTGAATTATATGAGTTCCTCATATATTTTAACCTTTGTATCAGATACATGATTTCCAAATATTTTCTCTCATTCCATAGGTTTCTTTATAACTTTTTAAAAAAGATTGTTTTTATTTATTTGAGAGAAAGTGAATGAGAGGTAGAGGGGGAGAGAATCTGAAGCAGATTCCACACTGTCACAGCCCAACACAGGGCTCAGTCCCACAGCCACAAGATCATGACTTGAGCCAAAACGAAGAGTCAGACGCCTAACCAACTGAGCCACCCAGGTGCCCTATCTTTTAACTTTTTTAATGTTTAATTTGCTGTGCTGAAGGATTTTAGTTTGATGTAGTCCCACTTATTTGTTTTTACTTTTGATGCCTTTGCTGTTGGTGTCAAATCCAAAATATCATTGGTACAACTATGTCAAGAGGCTTACCCCCTATGTTTTCTCCTAGGATTTTTATGATTTCAGTTCTTATATTGAAGTCATTAAGTCATTTTTTATTGATTTTTGTGTATGGTGTAAGATAGTGGTTCAGTTTCATTCTTTTGCACATGGCTGTCCAGTTTACTATTTAGAAGAGATAATCCATTTCCTCTTGTATATTCTTGTCTCCTATGATATAAATTAATTGACCATATGTCCTGTTTATTTCTGGGATCTCTATTCTGTTCCATTGATTTATGTATTGGTTTCTGTGCTAGTACCATAGTGTTTAGATTGCTATAGCATTGTAATACAGTTTGAAAGGAGGACATGTTATGCCTCTCCTTTTCTCTGTCAGGATTTTTTTTGGCTATTTGGAGTCTTCTGTGGTTCCATAGAAGTTTTAGAACTGTTTGTTTTATTAATGTGATAAATATTACTAGAATTCTTATAGGGGTTGTGTTGAATCTGTAGATTCTGTGGTAGTTATAGATATTTTAACAATGTTAATTCTTCCAATCCATGGGCACAGAATATCTTTCCATTTATTTATGTCTTCCTCAGTTTCTTTCAACAATGTCTTACAGTTTCAGTAAATAGATCCTTCACCTTGGTTGAATTTATTCCTTAGTATTTTATTCTTTTTGATGCAGTCATAAATGGGATTATCTACTTAGTTTCTCTTTCAGATTGTTATTAGTGTATAGAAACACAACTTTTTTTTTTAAGATTTATTTATTTATTTGAGGGGGGTGGGGCAGAGAGGGAGAGAAAAAATCCCAAGCAGACTCCCCAGTGAACACGGAGCCCAACACGGGGCTCAATCCCATGACCCTGAGATCATGACCTGAGCCAAACCTGAGTCAGACGCTCAACCAACTGAGCCACCCAGGTGCCCCACACAGCTTACTTTTGTATATTGATTTTGTCTGCTGTAACTTTATGGAATTCAATTATGATTTCTTTTTCTTTTAAAGATTTTATTTATTTCACACACACACACACACACACACACACACACCACAA